GCGCGGAAGGGGCCGCAGTGGCTCAGGCCCTCGGCACACTCGTCCACGTCTAGAGGAATTGGGAGACACCCGGTGTGGGTGGGACACCCCTCTTTTTCGGAGTCTGGCCTGCTGGGGACACCCCACCCCAAGCTGCCCACCCCTCTGCTTCCCCCATCCCAACAACACCCCTGAGGCGCTTCCCCAGCTGCCTCCCCTGCCTCCGTGATTCACCCAAATCCTCAGGGCAGCTCTTGAGCACGTCCCAGCACCCCAAACGGCCGTAGCCACCCTGGTGCAGCCACCACAGTCCCCGCTCACCTCGGCAGCCCCGTCCGTCCCTGCGGTACCCAGCTGGGCACTCACACACGTACTCCATCCCTGCGCCGGGCTGGCATCGCGCCGGCGCCTCGCAGGTGTGTGTGCCGTCGTGGCACGGGTTCACTGGGGGATTCTCAGCATCACCTGAGGGCAAAGGTTGGGATGTTAGAGGGAGAAAAGGCCTGGAAGACACGTGGAGCAAGGAACAACCATTCCCTCGTGTATCTGACATGGGTCTAGGACAACTGGCCACCGCCAACTGCCCACCAGACACTTCTACACCTCCAGCTCTCTCCACAGGTATGTGGATCATGAGATGAGACTTGTTCAGCTCCTCAGGGACAGACTCCTCAGGGATCTGTGGCTCTGCTCAAGGGGCTTTGATTTCTGCAAGGAAGGTGTGTAGGTACAGGGGAGTGCATGATTCACAGCCTGTAAGGCTAAAAAGTTAAGGATGAGATAAAGGTGACTCCATCAAACATGAGAAATGAAAAATTAACTCTGAGATGAAGGCAACTCAATCAAATTACAAACAGATCATTTCAGGTCACCATCCTGAACATCACTTTAAAAGCTGTGTCTTTATTTTTTTTTTGTTTAACATTATTTTTAAAAAATACCTCACCTTTGACAGCGTCACCTTTATCTCACTGTTCATTTTTCATGTTACAAACTGTGTGACTCTTATGCTTGAACTCACTTGTACAGTTTCCTTGCAGAAAGCAGAGCCCCATGAGCAGAGCTGCAGCTCCTCAAGGGTCTGTTCCTGGAGCTAAACAAGCCCCGTTTGCCCTGATCCAAGTACAGCAAAGAGTCAGTGGTGTAGAAGAAGTGTCTGGTGGACAGTTGGCAGCATTCAGTTGCTGGTAGCCAGTTGTCCCTGTCTCATCTGACATAGGCATGCAGCACCTGCATCCCACACAGGGACCCGTGGCTGTGCCACCCAGTGCCACCCCCACTGCAGTCCCCTTTGGCAGGAGCACTTGGGCTCTAGCTGCTTGGAAGTGGCAGAGGAGCCAGGGAAGGGGCTGGAGCACAAGTGTGAGGAGGAGCAGCTGAGGGAGCTGGGGGTGTCCAGCCTGGAGACAAGGAGGTGAGGGGAGACCTGCTGGCTCTGCAGCTGCTGAGAGGAGGTTGGAGCCAGGGGGGTCGGGCTCTGCTCCCCAGGAACAAGGGATAGAACAAGAGGAAATGGCCTCAAGTTGCACCAGGGGAGGTTTAGATTGGATCTTGGGAACAATTTCTTCCCCAAAGGGCTGTCAGGCCCTGGCCCAGGCTGCCCAGGGCAGGGGGGGAGTCCCCATCCCTGGAGGGGTTTCAAAGCCCTGTAGATGTGGTGCTGAGGGACATGGGGCAGGGGTGGCCTTGGCAGGGCTGGGGGAATGGTGGGACTTGATGTCAAAGGTCTTTTCCAACCAGAGCAATTCGGCGATGCTGCGAAAACAACCCCTCCTTTCTGGCTGCTTGCGGGCACGTGGAGCCTGGCACAGCTCTGGGAGCAGGGCAGGAGATGGCAGCACCTCTTGGCAGGGGCCGGCACCCCGAGCTGGGCACCCCGAGGCGGGTGCCGGGGCTCACCTGGCGCGGAGGCGACGCGGGCGGCCAGAGCGTAGCGCAGGACGTGCTCCTGGTGGTCGTAGAGGGCGAAGGCACGCGG